AAAAAAAAAAAAAAAAATGGTGCTGGGGATGGAAGCCAGGTTCTGCTCCCACATGCTAGGCAGGTCCTACTGTCCACATTTTACAGGTTAAAGGTTAAGTAAATGATTTGCTGAGGCTGGGGATTTAGCTCAGTGGTGCTGCCACCTGTCTCAAAAGTGCAAGGACCCAAGTTCAATCCCTGGTACCAAAAAAAAAAGATTTGCCTAAGAGTGCACAGCTAGGAATTGGTGGGTCCAGGATTCCAAGCCATGTAGGAGGCTCTAATACATTTCTAAGCACGGGGAGGCTCGATTTTGATAAATATTAGCTGCTACTCTTATTAGCCATTATTTTGGATAGCGGGAGATTTTGCAGTCCTGGATTCCCGAGGCAGGATTAGTGGCCCCCATTTCCCCCACTTTTTATTGTTTTTTTCCTCCCCCCCTCAGTATGGGGGATTGAACCCAGGGCTTTCTCCCTGAGCTACAGCAACAGTCTTTTTTTTTTTCTTTTAAGTTTGCAACAGGGTCTCACTAAGTCGCTAAATTGCCAGGGTAATCTTGAACTTGGCGATCCTCCCGCCTCCGCCTCCCAAACTGATGGGATTACAGGTATGCGCCACCTTACCCAGCTGCAGGGACTCTGACTTTTAAAACCCAGACGTGCTACAGTCTCAGTTTCAGACCCACGCGAGGCTGCGCCACCTGTCCGGCGGGCAGCGCGGGCCGATCCCCCACCTTGGCGTCCAGCGTGCGCTTGAGCTCCAGCATGTAGGAGAACTGCTCCGGGTAGATGTAGTCGTACGGGAAGTAGACCAGCAGCCCGTCCACATTGAGCCTGGCGTGAGGGCTGCGAGTCAGTCCCGACCCCTCTCCCCCTCTCCGAGCTTCACCACCCTCCGCCGTCGAGCTCGACGACCCCAAGTTCCTCGGGAGCAGCTTCCCAAGTCTCCCTGCTTCCGTCTCGTTGCCGCCTCTCTGGTCCCGGCAGCATTTTCACCCCACCCCTTCAGCTTCTCGCCCAACCGCCCTCTCATCTTTCAGATCCCTGCGGCCTCAACCAGCGGCTTCCCCGGCCCCCTCCTCACTTCATGGCGGCGGCCGCGACGTGCAGCTCGTGCACTCAGCCTTCTCATGAATATTCAGCGAGGGGCAGGGATGTGGGCGTTCTCGAAAAGCTGCCCCACCTTCCTCTTGACTCCATTGGCCGGTCCTGCCCGTCATTCCGCTGGGGCGGAGCGAATCGGAACATTGCGCATGCGCAGAGAGACGCAAGGGCGGCTTTCCGGGAGTGGTGGTGCTGGAGGCATCGCTGAGGATCGCCGAGGAATAAGAACAAAACAAGAAAGAGAGCCGAGATAATCGATCCAATTGAGTGACAGGGAAATTGGAGATCCGTTTGGGGCACTCAATGACGTGTTCGCTTCATTAAAACATGCATTTATAAAAAACGTGCCTTCTATATTTAGAAGAAGTAACTATGTAGAGCATGCTGGCCTCAAATTCATGGTGATCCTCCTACCTCAGCCTCCTGAGTGTTGGAATTACAGGCATACACCACCGTGCCTGTCTCAAGGTTTCAGTTTTGAGGGCAGTGGGAGCCAAGTATATGTTCTCCTAAAAGTAGAGATACGACCAGGTTTGCATTTCAAAAAGATGTTAAAGAAAAAGGTAAAATAGCTGCCTTAGTCACTTTTGTACTGCTATAACAAAATAGGTGAGTTGGACGATTTATGAAGCAAAGAGGTTTAGTCGGCTCACAGTTCTGGGGGCTGAAAGGTCTACGCTTGGGAAGCCACATCTGGCAAGGGCTTTTTGCCCCATTATAACATCATGGGTAGCATTGCAGGGTGGAAACACGGGCAGGAACAGTGAGGGGTGTATGAAGATAGTCTAGACGGGGTGCTCCCTTTATAACCCACTGTCATGGTAGCCAACCCAGACCCTAGAGACACACATTAGTCCCTCCCACAAGGCCCCACTTCTTAAAGGTCCCATCCCTTCTCAATACCATCGCCTCAGGGACCAAGCACAGGGAGGGCGAGAAACCACATCCACACCATAGCACAGCTACACACATTTATCTCCTGTCCGGCCATTAACTCAGCAGGAGAGTGTCGCGAGCCGGGACGTCAGGATCCTGCCAGCAGGTCCTAAACCTGAAAGGATGAGGACAGAGAGACGAGAGCCACCTTTCTTCTCAAGTTCCTTGCTTGCTTTATTACAGAACCTCTCCTTTTTATACTCTCCAGCTGCATGGAAGCTAGGGCTGCACGGGAGCGAGGGAGCGAGGGTACCGCCCACACATTCCAGAGGGAAACAATAACAACCATTATGGGTTACATCTGCTACCAGCTGAACTCACCCGTGGCTATGGGCGAGAGCACATCCTTGCCAGCGAGGTGACTCAAAGTTCAATCATGGCTAGGCCTGTGTCAAGGCTCACCATAATGGCTCGCCATAGGAGAGGAATAAACCAAGGAATCAATGTACTGGGAAAAGGAAAGATGGAGCAGGTCCTGGCAGAAAAGGGGATATGGAAGGCCAGGACGAAGGGACCGCCGTGCCACCCGCAGCCCAAGAGGAAGACACGCACTTTGAAGGTGTGTGTGCGGGGAGCTGGGGGAATTACTGCCCTAGGAAGTGTGACTCAAAACCCAAGGGATCGCCTCACACCCCAATCCCAAAGGAGACTAGAGGATTCCTCTCTCAAAACCAGTGAAGAAGATTTAGGATTTGTCCAACGCGCCCGCGCGCGCGCACACACACACACACACACACACACACACCCAAGAGCAGAGCATGACGGCAGCCAGTCTGGGCAACTTCATGAGACCGCGTCTCAAAATAAAATACAATCGCCAAGCATGTGTGAGGCTCCGGGTCCATTCCCAGTACAGGGGGAAAAAAAAAGGTGGGTGTGTGTGTAAAAGAAGCCTGTAGTTAGAAATATTTGCAATATTCAGAGATGGATGTGCAAGGCCTAGGATTCAAAGCCCAGCACCTGAAAGAGGGAGAGAGGAGTTGATGAATTAGAAGATGAAAGTGAGGCCACCTGGACGTCCCAGACCTGATCCTGTTGTTGACAATCTCTCAATCCTTCGTTTGAACACTCGCGAGGAAATGGTAAACCGTGAGAACCAGCAGATTAAATGGATTAAACGTTCCAGACTTCAGGTGACAGAACTTTCGGGCGTATACCATGCTATTGTTCAGATGGGGTTTATCCCTCAAAGATCTGAGTGTTGTACTCTTGGCCTCAGAGAGGCAGTGTAGGAGCAAAGGGGACCTTTAAGAGGCGGGGCCCATGGGAGGGCCTCAGGTCCGGGGGTGTGGCTTCGGGAGGTGTTAAAGTAGTTCGCTCTAGTGGGTTATTATAAAGACCTGCGGCGTATCCCTGACTTGTTTTCTGGCTTTCTGCGTCAAAACAGGAGCTCTTTTGCAGGGCACGATGGTGGACACCTTTAACCCTAATACTCAGGAGACTAAAGAGGGGGATTACCAAGAGTTCTTTCCATAGGCAACTCCCACCATGCACCTGGGGACCCTGGCCACAGCCTGCTGTGTTCTTTGGAAGTTGTTTCTCGAAGTGTCGGCTAAATAATTTTTAAAAAAATCAACTTGTCTCCTATTTTGTAATAGTGATGAAAGCTAACTGATATATACTGTAAAAAAAAGAGAGAGAGACACACACACACACACAAAATAACTCAAAAGTCTGAAAAAGAGGAAGGACTGGACTGTGCATGGTGAGGGGAATCCCTTAAAACGCTTTAAGACTGGTTTGCCAGGGGCTGGGGGTGGATTCATCCACTGCACTAATACACACACACACACACACACACACACACACACACACACACCATGAGCATTTATTGAGTCAAAATCAAAAGAGAAGTTAATAAACTACCTTTATTCATAAGGAAAACTTTCCCCATTTTGTTATACACATAAACCAGCACTGTGTGAAGGCACTTAATGGGGAGTGGGGACAGGGGGTCCTGGTAGAGACCAATGTGCACCTCCCCGACCCTGAGTCTGCTGGGAGATTTGGGGTCAGAGGTGGCTCCCAGAGTGATAAAGAGATGAGGTCATCTGTCCCAGGCTCAGCTGGGACGGCATGTTGGCTGGCCAGGGCTTGGGCCGCTGGCAGTAGGAGTGGGAGTCACTTTGGATGGATCTGATTAAAGATTTCCAGCCCAGCTGTGCATGGTGGCAACTGCCTATAATCCCAGCACTCTGGGAAGCTGAGGCAGGAGGATTGGAAGTTCAAGCCCAGCGTGGGCAATGTACTGACTTAACGAGACCCTGTCTCAAAACAAAACATAAACAAAAGGCTGGGGATGTAGCTCAGTATGAAGGCCGTGCATTCAATCCCCAGTACCACAAAGGAAAAAAAAAAAAAAGATTCCAGCCCCATTCCCTGGACTTCCCATGGCTAAGGCAGGTTCCTAAACCTAAGGCTGGGATTCTCCTCCCCCAGGCTTCTGGGGGAGCAGGAAGTGGGGCTGAGGGCCCCAGGCCTGCAGAGTGAGGGGCGCAGCATACACGGAGAGGCAAGTCTGAGGTCTGGGGCACAGGCAGGCAGTGCTCTTGTCTCCCTGGGAGACGTCCTCTGTCATGCTAGACTTTATTCCTCTGGGACTTCACCCTGGGGAAAAGCTGAGGAAAGGCAACCTTCAGACAGACACCGGACACTTCCGCCCTCGTCCTTCTCCCAGCAGCCCTCCAGGATGCAGCCTGCTCCATCCTCCCATCCACTCCAGAGTCCCTGGGGCCCTTGTTACCTCCATGTACCAATCAGCAGCTCTACTGATAAAGTGGAATATAATGGGTCTCCTTGCCACCGTGGCTGTCACCCAATCCAAATCAAGAAATATTCTCTCTTATGAATATAATGGAACCCTCCCCAACCTAGTAGATTCATCATTGATTTCGGGGTAGTTCAAGCTGGCCTTGAACTTGAGATCCCCCTACTGCAGCCTCCTGAGTGCTGGGATTATAGATGTGGGTTATCAGGCCTGAATTTCTGCTGTGATTATATTAAGGGATTCTTCTTCCCCCTTTCCAGTGCTGTGTAACAAAATACTCTCCACCCTGCCTGCACTAGGCAACTCTTTAACTCCCCCATCACTAAGATGAGATTTTTCAATGCTTTCCTTGGCAAAAATGGATCCTTTAATCTCTCCATTAATATCAGGGGTGACCATTTTTCCCCCACTGCTGGGGATAGAACCCAGGGCCATGCTAGGGAAGTGCTCCACCACTGAGCCATGCCTCCAGCCAAATAATATCATTTGATTGAACACAAATCAAATAACCCGTTCAGCGGTGCCAGGGCTCTCCCTTAGCCTTTTTTTTTGGGGGGGGTACAGGGGATTAAACTCAGGACCTTGTGCTTGCCAGGCAGGCACAGCACCACTGAGCTAAATCTCCAGCCCCTCCCTTAGCCTTCTACTACAAGGGCTTTTCCGGTCCTCCCCATGACTAGCAGTGGACTCTTCCAGCCTCCTTCACCCACAGTAATGCACGTCTCTCTCCTCCCTCTTTTCCCAGTAGGCTCACCCCCAAGTAGTTCCGCGGCACGTAGCCCTCCTGGCCGTGCAATGCCGCCCACCACCAGTCGGTCTCCTCCAGCCCGTCCCTCCGCAGCACAGTGACTGAGTCGCCCTCACGGAAGGACAGCTCGTCCCCAAACTCGGCGCTGTAGTCCCAGAGCGCATACACGGCCCCGTTGTGCATCAGCCCCATGCTGTGCTCCACATCTGAAACACACAGTCAGGGGTGAGAGCCCAACCTGGGGTGCAGGGACACCAGACTCACTAGGGCCAGGGCCAGGCCTGGGCTTTGTGGCATGTATATGGGTACCTGTGTCTGGGGACAGGAGCTGGAGCTGGAATGGGCTGGGAGTGGCACCGCTAACATTCGTGGACATTGAGGTGCATCAAGCTGGGCCACCTACCCTGGGGTGGGACCAGCGGCCCCCTCTCCCTGTTTTTTATATGTGTCCATTTATTTTGCAGTACTGGGGATTGAACCTAGGGAGTTTGCACTGAACTAGAGCTCCAGATTTTTTTTTTTTTTTGAAAGACAAGGTCTTGCTAAGTCACTAAATTGTCCAGGCTGGGCTTCAACTTACAATGTTCCTGCCTCAGCCTCTCAGAGTGCTGCAGTTACAGGCATGTGCCACTGTGTCCTGCTTCCATTAACCTCTCGTATGTTGTTGAATCCCCACATTCCTCGGTCCCTAATGTCAACCAAGGCTACAACTCGCCTCTCCAGGTGTACAGCTGAGTGCCTGTGCGCGGTCCTCGGGGTCCCCCTACCTGGCCCCTCCTGTGGGAAAGTGCTGCAGCCAGGCACCAGGACAGGTCACGGCCTCATGTCTCACCACAGGTCGGACAGTCCCTACTGGTGCCGGGGAGGTGGCATAGTTGAAACCTGCAGGTCCCCCACTTTCCCGCCGATGGTCCACTCCCCCTCTCTCCTCCGTGTCTCCCCCAGCCCCGCCCCGCACCTGCCAGGTAGGTGGCACAATCAGCGTAGCCCTCCCGGTAGGGGTCGCACTTCTCGATGGCAGTGGCGCCATCGCTGAGCGTGGTGGCGAAGATGGCTGCGCCGTGCTGCACCAGCGCCATACAGATGGCTGTGTCGTTGCACGATGCCGCGCAGTGCAGCGGCGTCCTGGGTGAGGGAGAGGGATGTGTGAGTGGGATGCCTGCCCCGCGGCGCCATCCCCGACGCCAGCCCCTGCGACGCCGTCGCTGTCCCCATCCCAGCTCACCAGCCGTGGCTGTCGGGGGAGTTGACATTGGCGCCAGCAGCGATGAGGAAGTCGACAATAGCGTAGTTGGCACCACAGATGGCGTTGTGCAGGGCGGTGATGCCCTCCTCATTGGGCTGACTTGGGTCGTTCATCTGGCAGACAGGATGGGAGGCTCAGCCCGGAGACCCCCGCACCCCTGCCACCCACCTGCCCCGCACCCGCCGGCCTCACCTCCTTCACGGCCTGCTGTACCACCTCCAGTTCCCCCGTCAGCGCTGCATCCAGCAGCAGCACCAGCGGGTTGAGGCGCGCGCGCCGGGCCTTGCGAGGAGAGCCCGCCTTCCGCAGCACGGAGCGCATCTCCTGTGAGTCAGGGAGGGGACAGCAACTTGGGGGAATCCTTAATACCACAGACCCATGACCCAGAGTGGACACATAGGCCTAGATCAGCAGCCGATCCCGATCACCATCTAGGCCGGCTGGGCTGGGGTTCATGTGTATGTGGGTGGGTGTCTGAAGTCTTAGGCCACAGGGGCAGGGCTGCCTGGCTCTCCTAAACTTGGGGCTCCTGCAGCAGCCAGGGGATCCTGGGATCCAAATTTCGAGCTCTGAGAGAAGGTGGGAGGCCATCTAGGTGGTGCCAAAGTGATTTGAGACCTTCATGACGATTGTGGAAAAAATGATCCAGATCATTCAGGTTTTTGTTGTTGTTTGGCAGTGTTGGGGATCCAATCCAGGGCCTCCTGGATGCTAGGGAAATGTCTTCTTGCTGAACCATATTATCCCTGGCCACTTTTACAAAATTTTATTTGACACAGGGTCTCACCAAGTTGCCCAGGCTGGCCTCTCAATCTTACAATCTTCCTGTATCAGCTTCCTAGTAGCTGGGATTACATGTGTGTGAGCCACCTGACCTGTCTAGGGCTTAATTCTTGGGAGTTTGTCATTTGTCAAGTCTTTCTGTGGCCCAGACTTTGTGATTCTCCAGTAGGATGACTCCCATTTCAGGTTGCTGTCTCTTCCCTCAGGAGGGCCTGAGAATAGATTCTAAGGTGTCTGCCTCACCTCTACTTCTCTGAAACTTATATCCTGCATATCTACCTGCATTGCTTGGAACTGTTCCATTTGATGACCCTGTCCAAGGCCAGAACCTTCTCACCACCAATGGGTAGTCATCTCCACCCCACACACCATGCAGAGCATGTATTGATGCACGCAGCCTTCATAGTAACCCTATGAGGTGGCTGTTGCTTTTTCATCCACATTCTACAGATGAGGAAATTGAGGCCCAGAGGGGTAAGCATCTGGCCAAGGTTGCGTGGCTAAGTGGCATAGAGGCAAACATGGTGATTCATGCCTGTAATCTCAGCACCATGGAAGGCTCAGGCAGGAGGACTGCAAGTTCAAGCCCAGCCTGGGCAATGTAATTTTGAGATCCCGTCTCAAAATTAAAAAATAAAAGGGTTGGGGAATAGATGTAGCTCAGTTCAAGGCCTTGAATTCAATCCCCAATACAAAAAAAAAAACAAAAGAAAAAAAAACAAAACATGGAGTGCCCAGCATAGAGCACAAGTATAGGTCATTAAAGAAAAGGTACAAAGTAATTCATGTGCCAAAACTCCCAGGATGCCCCCCATAGTTCTCGCTCCCTTTTCCAAAGGTAGCGCTGCCTACCTTGAAGACTACAAATCCCAGCATCCCTTGCAGTTAGCTTCTGGACCACTGGGATGGACAGAGTGGTGGGTGCAATTTCAAATTCTGCCTCAAGGGGAAGGGGACTTTTCCTCTCCTCCTGGTAGGAATGCAGATGCGGGGGAGAGCTATCCTGGACAGGGAAGGCAGGACAGCCCCTAAGGGACAGGAGCCCCAGACGGACTGAGCCTAGCTCCTGACCTCACCTGGCTGCCTCCCAGCTCTGACTGCTACTTCTGGCCTCTTACTCAAAACAGAACGTCCTGTCTCATTTAAACCACAGCACATAGGGGACTGCTAGTTGCAGCAGCGGATCTGGACAGTAGAAGAGGTAGCCCAGCGCCCTCCTGTGGGACTCACCATGCTCTGTGGCTGCTCCGGTGGGCTGCTCTGAGGTGGGGCTGGGGGGGGTATGGGGACCGGTGGGGCGGGAGCGGGGGGCCCTGCCCTGGCCTCGGATCCCTCAGTGATGGGGCACAGCTCCGGCTCCGGACCCCCAGGCCCTGGCCCGCCGTGCCGGTGGAAGAGGCGGCTGATGATCTGCTGGTACTGCTTCTTGTGGGTGGGGGGCAGGGCCACAGCGGGGCTCTGTTCCATGGAGCCCCTGCGTTTGAGGGGCCGAGGGATCTCTGCCAGCACTCGCGCTACCTCCTCCAGCTCGGGCACTGACTGCGCCTCGGGTGGCAGCGCTGGCTGCAGCCTCGTGGGACTGAGGGGTCGAGCGACAGTGCCTTCATCTGCATCGCCAGCCTCCAGCACCGGGGTCAGCAGCACCTCTAGTTCCGGCTCTGGCTCCAGCTCAGCGGGGGATTTAAGGAGGCCTGGCAGGAAAGACGGCCCCAATAGAGCTCAAGCCCAAGTTGCCGAGACTTTCAGGGCCTGCAGGCAGTACCTTATTTGCTGTGGATCACAGGGCAGTTTCGTGCCTTCTCTGGGCTGTGAATAATATACAATCACGGCACCTCCCATTTACGAGCCTCCAGGGTGTCTGGCACTGCACGTTCTGGCCTTACTGAATTTTCCCCACTCCCGTGTGAAGTTCTAAGTGATCACATGCAGCACTACAGGAAGGAATCTGAGGCTTGGAGGGGGCAACTCAGCTGCCCAAAGCCACACATTTAACTGACTAGAATCTCTGTTTTTGGTGTTTTGGTTATTGCTGTTGTTTTTATGTGGTGGGGATTGAACCCCGGGCTTTTGCACTGAGTTACATCTCCAGTCCTTTTTTTATTTTGTGTTTTGAGACAGTGTCTCATTAAGTTGCCCAGGCTGGATTTCAACTTGCAGTCCTCCTGCCTTAGCCTCCCAGAGCGCTGTGATTACAGGCTTGGGCCACTAAGCCTGGCCAAAATCTTATCAACCACAACAGACTGGACTTTCTAAGATCCTATGAATTTTCTTTCCTAAAATCTTAGGCAGAAAATTCCTGCCAAGAGCTGACTCTTCTGTCTTCTTCTATGTTGCAGTGCTCTAAAGTAAGTGGTAAAATCAAATGATCACTCTATTCCCTACCTCACAATGTCCATTACAATCCTATAAAGGAGATATAATTAGTATCTCTTCATGGATAGGAAAGCAGCCTCACGCTGGGCAGGAGATTTATCCTGGGGCACCAACAAGTGGGCGATAGAGACAGGCTCAAGCTGTCTGCTCAACAGTGATCTGGCACTAAAAATATGAACAAGATGTGGTTTTTCTATAAAATGGAGTACTACTAGCCATAAAAAGTGAGACACCAGAGTCATTTATAGCTAAATGGTTGCACGTAAAGGCCATACTCCTAAGTGAAATAAATAGGACACAAATGTGTAAATACCAAATAGTGTCTCTGGTGTGGAAAACTACAAGTGTAAATAAGATTCAAATTGTATAATGGAAGCTGGGCGTGGTGGTGCACACCTGTAATCCCAGCACTCAGGAGGCTGAGGCAGGAGGATCACTGTGAGTTCGAGACCAGCCTGGGTTACAGAGTGAGTTCCAGGTCAGTCTCAACTACATAGCGAGACCCTGTCTCAAAAAAACAAAACCAAAACCAACCAAACAAATTGTATAATTGCTATTGTGAAATAGGAATAAAAGAGCTAAAGGAGTAGGAGAAGTGGGAAGGGCAGGGGAAATGAAAGAAGGGAAAAGAAAAAATATGAGAAAAGGAAAAAATGGAAACAAAGTCTTTGTAGATAGAGGAGGTTGGAGAGGGTGAAGGGAGGGCAGGGGTATGGGAAAAAAATAAGAACCAAGAAACATCATATAAAGGTACAAGATCCCAGTGATGAATGTAACTGTACTGTATACTTTAAATGTACCAATAAACAGGCTGGGGATTTAGCTCAGTGGTTCCACCACCTGCCTCGCAAGCACAAGGACCTGAGTTCCATCCCCAGTACAAAAAAAATAATAGTACCAATAAACTCAATAAGGAGAACAAAAATAAAAATACGAGGGCCAGGGATTTAGCTCAATGGTTCTGCTGCCTGCCTTGAAAGCTCAAAGTTCTGAGTTTGATCCCTAGTACCGAAAAAAACAAAACAAAAAAAAAAACAAACCACACAACAGTTCTGCTAACTAACATCATAGCTACATGGGCTTCCTATGCAGTAGGGCCTATGAAAAGGACTTGATATGGTTTTAATATCACATCCCAATAAGATAGGTTCTAACCTTATTCAGTTTTTCCACTCAAGGACTGAAGGCCCAGAGAAGTTAAGCGACCCGCTTGAGGTCACACAGTAAGGAACAAGGGTGGCCCAGCATTTAGCCATTTTGCAATCCAGGCCCCTGTGTCAATTCCGGAGCTCACTGTGGCCCGGCTCTCCAAAGGGTCTGGAGCGAGGTGTGGCTGTGATGCCGCCCCGCCGCCCCTAGGGGATGCCTCTGGCCATCTTCCCTGCCCGCCAGCCCTCTGGGGCCCCTGTTGCGCAGTCGCTGACTCACCTTCATTCACAGGGGCCCAAGCCTGTTGTGGGGGCTGGGCAGCTGGGGCAGGTGGTTG